AACCACCAAAGATCTATCACTAGCATGTATATTGCTGAAAGCATGCTTGAATGGACTACGAGAATCTTAAATATAGTTATCTTTGAAAACATCAATAATAGAAATATCACCAACAAATTTAGTGAACTCTCCTCTTAAACGTTCAAGAGCCAGAAGAAACAAACCCGATTCTAGCTTTGCCTTAATAATTTTGAATATTCCAAGGATAAATCACATCATATTTAGGTCTAACCATTTTATCTCATATACTATCAATGATGGAAAGATATTGGCCTCTGTTGAGCTTGAAGTGTATATTTCATAAGAAAGGTTATCAGTCCCAAGACCTAACATACCTAGAAAGAATATCCCCATCCCAATCTCATGATAGAATGTGCATACCCTTGGAAGAATCACAATTGACCCAGAAAGTATCTAGGATTACTAATAATATTATTCAAAATATCATTATCCATCCAAGAGTCGCTTAAGCTGCATCCTGCGGTCCAAATCACTCATCTTGTGGTGATGCTATGTAATAGGGGTAATATTTGTTCCATATCAAATCGAAGTCAATGATTATTCACTAAGATTGCTCCATACTTGTAGATAAATGACTTGAGTGTCAGTGTGACTAGGCCGAGAAATCTATTCAACCTTAACCTTTATACAGATTGATTACCGAGCATGCATCCGAGTCCACATTAGGACTTGAGGAGCATCCAAGTCTCTTCGTCAACTTAGACCTTTGAAGTGCCCACAGTTACTGTCACAAGGGACGCCGGATTTGTGCTAGTCTCATCAAATGGACCATGGCATCACAATTCGGATTTGTTGCCAATGAGTCACTCAAACCAAATATGGAACAATTGATGTGGCAGATAAAAAAACATGAATAACGGAGAGCGACACAAGAGGCAATAAAACACAAAAATACCTGCACATTTGGAATCCTTACGTCTCTTCATATCTTATGTCGATGGCACCCATGCATGGAAACCAATTGGCATTTGTAACGCTTACGTCTCTTCATATCTTTTGTAACATGCGTCTCCTTTACAACATCAATGCCACCTTGATCAAAGATTATAGACCGAGGCAACAAAACACAAAATGACCTGCACATTTTTTATCGTTACGTCTCTTCATATCTTACGTCGATGATGGAAACCAATTGGCATTTGTAACGCTAACGTCTCTTGATATCTTTTGTCGGTGGCTATGGAAACCAAATTGACACATTTGTAATCCTTGCGTCGCTTCCCTATCACCATGAAGTTGATATTTATTTTTGTTAGAACAGATACAGCCGACTTCAATTTTGATAGTATGAACTGTGAGCAGAGATATATGATGATAATATCTTTTCTCTTTCGCGTCGTGTGAAACTTGGTTTAATAGGTAATCTCCACAAAGTGGAGGAAAGTCGTGGCTCGTATTTGTCTTCCTCCTGAACAGACGAAGATGTTGTGTCCTCATAAGTTCCAACACCAAGTAGCAGGCTCTCCGTCGCCACCTCGCATGTTTAATTAGTCTTCACATAAAATAAGAATGGAGAGTCTGAGTCTGCAATCACTTGTTCCAGATGATGAGCTGATGGTTCGCAAGTCTGTAAGCTATCGTCCGAGGGTTGGGGCCGACTACTTTATCCAACATGGCCGGTCCGTCACTCCAACATCGGTATGTAACCCGGCCATCCTATTTGCCAAAGATGTTTCCAGCTTTCAGCAAGAAGGTCACCTGGAAAGAGGGGTGTTGATAATTTAGCTCCAGCTAAATAGCACTCATGCTTAAACTGGTCCTTCATCGACAGAGTTGGGGTTTCCTGCGGTTTCAGTACCATGAAAAATCTCCCTTTTCTCGTCTATTGCAGGAGAAGTGTGATACAACGATAAAAGAGAGAGTTGCGGAACTGATGGAGCAGATAAGAAGCATGTCCAAGGATCCTACTGACATCTTGCAAACTATGAATTTGGTCGATTCAATCCAGCTTCTTGGATTGGATTATCGCTTCGAGAAGGAAATAAGTGAAGCGTTAAACCATATCCATGATGCCCATATTGACGACCATGTTCTTTGCGACACTGCTCTCCGATTTCGACTGCAAAGAGAAAGATCCATAGAGGATATGGTTAAGTAGATCGATTGTTGAATTATTTCCTGTTTCTCATCTATCTATTCTGGATTGTGGATGACTCGAAGGTGGTGGAACGAAATAGCACCCTCCAAAAGTCTTGATTTTGCTCGAGACCGATTGGTGGAGTGCTACTATTGGACTCTGGGCATATACTTTGAACCCCACTATTCCCGTGCACGAATGATAACGGCCAAGGTCTTTGCTCTAATATCTATTATGGATGATATCTATGATGTCTACAGCACACTGGAGGAGAGTCAACAATTCACTGAGGCAATTCAAAGGTTGGAAAATCTCATATCGATGGATAGATTACATTTCACTAACTTTGCGTGCAAGGGACAAGAACATAAAGCGTTACTAAAAGCATGAAAATAGTTTCAGCCATTGTGTATAACAAAACAATAATAATAGTGGTAATAACAACAACAATATATGTAATATCAACTACTATTTTTCTGAAGATGGGACTAATTCATGTGCAGATGGGATGCAAAAGCTGTTCATAAATTACCAGAGTACATGAAGGACTACTTTCTCAAGTTAATTCACACCTTTGAAGAGTTCGAAACTTTGCTAGCACTCAATGAGAAGTATCGCTTGTACTATCTCAAGGAATCGGTATGTGATGAATCCGAGAGACATTATTGTTTTAATTTTCATGAATTAGCATTACATTAAACGAACCCAATGATTGTGCGGAGAATAATTGTTCCATATGTGACAACCATGAAGCGAGATAATAAAATTCCATTTCTTCCATATACACTGCTCATGCATTACATACATTAAGGAATGGGTTTATTTTACCTAATACAGATGAAAGCTGTATCTAAAGCTTACTTTGAGGAATCCAAATGGAGTGCTCCACGTTACGTGCCAACTCTGGAAGAACACCTACAGGTTTCCCTCATCAGTGCAGCAAATCCTGTACTCGAATGTGCTTCTTTTGTTGGAATGGGGGAAATAGCAACTGAGGAGGTATTTAAGTGGATTACTAGTTTCCCAAAGATTGTCCAAGCTTCTGGAATAATTTCTCGGATTATGAATGACATTACTTCACATGAGGTATCCTCACAATATAATCTCCAGTATTTTATATCATATAAACCTTTCTCATAGTAAAATTTGTATTGATTTCTCTCGTAGTAGACATATGATAACATAAAAAAATATCATGCCTTCTCGCATTAGATGAGATGGAACATAACTGAGGTTTAATTGGTAATCTCTAGTTTATTCCTTCTATTTATCACCTCAAAAGCAATTCTTGTGTCACTCAATTGCATTATCAAAGTATTTCTGAACTTCTTAATTGATATTATATTAAGAAATCTAGTACAAACGAAAAAACTCCAGTTTATAAGCTTCCACATCCGTATATTTTCAAATTCCTTTCATCTATGCTTTGTTATTGATAATAGTCTATTAATTTGTTTTAATATAACGAACATGTAAATCCTAAAAGGATCCCTCAGAATTCAGTTTGTAGATCATTCAACCTCTTTTTTCATGAAATTTGTAGTTGGAACAAACTAGGGAACATGTTGCCTCCACAGTCCAATGCTACATGAAAGAGTTCGGAATAGATGTGCATGTGACATGTAAGAAGCTCCAAGGTCTAGTTGACGATGCATGGAAGAAGATAAACGAAGAGTGCCTCAATCCGACTGCATTCTCCTTTGCTTTACTTGAAAGGATTATTAATTATTCGCGAATGGCAGAAAATATAAATAAACACATTGATGGATACACCAACTCCTCTATGAGGACAAAGGAATATATCTCTTTGTTACTTGTATATCCTATTCCACTTTGATTGTATGACGATGCTTGCTTCTATGAATCCTTTATTCTGAAATATCTTTAAGCCTTTGTAAAAGAACGTGTAGCCCTGGGAAGCTCAAGCCAGTATTATCTATGGAAAACAGAAATCCTTGCTTAACAGTAGTTCAAAGCAATTTGCTAGTTGCTAGTTGCCAACTTT